AATATTATCAATGTAGCCAACCAGCATAAACAATTTAAAAGAAACTAGAAATAATGAAAGTTTTGCTGTATTCATTATCATTTATCAGCAAGTACTGTTCTGTTATTTTCTTCTTTTCATTTTGCATTGGAAAATACAATACAATGCAATTCAAAAAGTCAATGCAAATTTTTATAAAGAAAATAAATGTGTTGTTGATAAATGTACATACAAGCAAAAACCTTAATAATATCTGGTAATATTTCTTAACACAGTGTATGGTATGATGTCATATCAAATACTGTAGATAACAACATTCATACAAACAGTATACAGTTCCAATCTGACAGGACTACAGTACGTTCAATCAATTCATGTTTCTTTCCATGGCCTATAATATGGCCTGAATTGCCACCAGATCCTTATCCCTCATGTAGTGACAAGGCTTCATCCTGATTTGCAATAGCAGCCTCAAGCAATTCCACCACTCAATGTTTCAATGGTTTTTGCTCTATTAAAAGTACTTAATATATTATTGTTTTTTACAAAAAAAAAATACACGGGAGAACATGACTTCGACAAGGAAGCACTTCTTTAATTCTTGACTTCAGCTTTCAGGTGATGCAGAATGAGCATTTGCTTTGGCTGTGGTTCATCAACTTCCATTCACTTGATCCTGTGGTCTATGAAAATTAATTAAACAAACTAATTGAAAGAGCTTATCAATGCTACTGTGATGGTTTTAATGATCAAATATGTATTTAAATTGTTTCTTTTTAATCAAATGTTGTTTTCCAAAAAAAAAAAAAAAAAAGAAAAATAAGTAGTATAAGTATAATACAATATTAAAGGCAGGTGGTGATGTTTAACTGGACATCAAAGTGTTGATAAATATTATTTGCTTAAGTCAGTTTTGATACCCATTAATTAATATATTTTTTGTTATGTTGTGTCTAAGGATTCCTATGTAGATAAAGCATACTGTACTATTAATATAATAATTTTGTTATATTCTTTTCATGAAGACATTAAAATCAAATTAAGCCTGAATTACTTAGTATAAGCACAGTCACTGAAGGGCACATCCCCACCCCAAAAGACTGAATTGATTCAATTTGTGTAGTAATTGTTCTTGGTAGACAGTAGTAAATAGTTGCTATAAAATTGTGGATTGATTTGGTTTGTCTTCATGGTCAGTTGTTTATGCTGGGTCGATTCATTGCCAACATTATTGTCTCAATATGCTTATTACAATATAACATTATCGTATTTGATTCACAATACTCTGTGGTTATTTTGCTGTCGATAGTAACCCAATTTGAGGAAAAGGCAGGGCTTCCTGTCTGTGTGTGTGGTGTGATAGAGAGACGCTTAGTGCTTCTTAATTAAGTAAAACATACCATACCATTTTTAACGTTATATGTAACCACACTCGTACCTTTAAACAGATTCGGTGCAATTTTGACTACTACAACTACTTGCACCACCATCCCTGAGATCCCCTTCGTTATAGGCCCTATATGTAGGCTATTCATCAGCTTCGACGGAAACTTAATAAGCCTTACTGAGGACTCGTATTTGTTGTTTTCCACAGAGTTGCACATCCTTAAATTTCTTTAAGCTGTTTACGCTTAATGACACAACCATACTCTAGGTTGTTACAACATGTATCACAAAAATATGCCTGAAACCGGCTCAGATTTATCATTTGAAGAACTTCTGCCCAACGCCATGATACTTGCATGTGGAGTGTGTTGTTTACTATTTACATTGGACAAACGGCATAGAAGGTAGTTTGTGATTGGCTGAGGGCCATGCAGTTAAGCCAAACTTCATTGTTAGTCGTCTTCTGATTGGCTATAGTTACGTAGCAACTTTTGATATAAATTCTTATTTTTGGTTATAGTTTCCCCAAATTCACGATTGCCGACAATCAAATTATGTTACAATTTAGTAGTATTGACATTTTTGTGCAAAAGCCAGGTAGCCCGGATTGGTGGGTCACAGGGGCGCATTCAGATTATGTACTCGGCATAAAATGTTTTCGTAACATTATGTTCTCGGCACATGTTCACATACCACACCGAACGAAAAATTTCCTGAAATACGATCATTTAGATTATAAAACCATGTTCTTGGCATTTATGCATGTGTAACATTTTGAGAGGAGCTCAGAGTCACTGTAGGCCTAACTTTATTTCCATTTTATTAAATGTGTCTCTTATACGATCCCAGGGTCTTCGTGGAAATCCAAGATTGTCGGATACCTTTTGGAAAAGTTGCTTATTCCCAGATCCTTTGGTATTTTGTGCTTCTATCTCCCTTCTTCCCAAACTTAAACTACGCAATTCATTTCGATGACTGCACTCCATGTGCTTCCTCTGTCAGAACATGTTTTCAGCATTTTGTTTTGTTCCAAAACATTTAGGCCTACAGCATAAATTAATCAAGAGAACAGTAGTACTGCTGTATTATAAAAGCACATAGAAAATATTATTAAATTATCACTCTTATGAATTAAAAAAAATGATGAAAGGCGGTTTTTTTAATTGGAACAATATATTAGGCCTATTTCGCCTTTGTTTTTATCGATGAGGGAGGGGACTGTTTATATTTGGTCTGTAATAGTAAATATTGTATAAAAACAGGTTTAATTTTATAGTTTTTTAAAGAAAATGTATTTAAAGTAACAAAATTGCATTTTTATGCTGTTGAAATAATTGATGCGGAAAAAAAATTATTCCCGCATCAATATTTCCCGAATTTTTTACGCTTGCGGAAGTAATAATCTAATAATTTTTTATATTTGCCCTAACATGTATACATTGCGCCTCGGAAGAATGTCAAAGCAGGTCAGGTCACGTCATTGAAGCCCGCCCAGTTATAACATTTTATGCTCGGCACACGTTCAGACTTCATTCCAGAGTCGTAGTTCGAAAACATTTTGTTCCGAGAACGTGGTTCAACTGGGTTCTAGCTAGAACATTCTGTGCTCGGCATAAATTCCATTAGCACACGTTCAGACTATAAAAAATGACGTGTGCCGAGAACATTATGTGCCGAGAACATGCGCCGAGAACACAGTCTGAATGCCCAGAGAATTGAACGTTTTAGATCCTAAACCCACGGTCTAAAACGGGAAAACGTTACGTTCAATGTCGTTTGTAGTTCGTTCTTATCCGTCCTCAACCCGTTTAACCCGTTCACAGTATGTTTCAACCCATTCTAGGACTTT